TCTCTCTCTCTCTCTCCGCACGCCGCAGCCGCGAGTGAAAACGAGCCGGGACAGCGCCGCGCCGACCTTCACCATTTTGGTACACGCAGCATGCGACACGCACGGCCGTAAAGCCGCACACGTCCTCCACGCCGATCCTCGCGCCTCGTGAAGGAAACGTGAGAGGAACTGGCCGGATTTTATCGGAATGCGCGCGGGGCGGCCGGTCCGCTGCGTGGATTCCGTGACGAAACGACGGCGACGCCGGTCTGGGGGTTGCTAGCCTCCCTCAACTCCGCCTCTCGTTCCCGTCGCTCTATTCGCGTCTCGCTCGCTCGCTCGCTTCGCTCTCACCACCACGAGAGCGGCCAAGGGTGGGTGGCGGTGATACGAGCCGGTGGCAGTGGCGGCAGTAGTGTGTGGGTACTTGTACCGGTGGGTACTTTAATGTGGTAGTAGTGGTGGTGGTGGTTGTTGGTGTCAGTGGTGCTGCCGGTGCTGGTGCTGGTGCTGCTGGTGGCGGTAGTCGTGGTGGTGAGTGGTGCTGATGGTGACGTGGTGGTAGTGGTGGTTTAAATTTCAGCCGCGTGCACGGGTTCGCCTACGTGAGCCATTACACGGGTCCTCGGCTTTCTCGCCGACTCGGAGGCTATACGACCGGTCACGGCCCACGGACGCAAATTTCGCTTACCTTCATCATTCGCGCGCACCTTTTCTCATCGGTCGCTCGTGCATGACTCGTGCGTATCTGCCGTCAAAGCGCGACTTTGTCTCGTTCGTCTTGTCCGAAATCCTACGTTCGATCCCTACCTGCCGCCGCCGGCGATATCGGCTGACCGTCTCTCGTCCTGTGTGCATATGCGTGCATGTATATGCGTATGTGTGTGGGGGTGAATGCGCGTGCTTTGTCGTAGAGGATGCATCGTATTGCTGCACTGTCCGCGTCGTCTTGTTGCACCGATTATCGAGGTAAAGTAGCCTGCCAGGCAGACAACAGTGGCCGTCTTGCGGCACTCGAAGCTGCGAAACGGGGAAAAATACGTCGGAGATACGATGGAAATTGCCACACGTCCCCGCGGCGCGATCGTAGATAACGGCGCAATCTAGGCCGGCTGGATAGATGAGACGGCATTTTCCACGATAATTAAAAATCTTCGGAAAACGCAACGCGCTGCGAATTTCGACGAGGCGCAGCGCGTCTACGAGAGCTCTGCAGCGGTGCTTGCACCGCTTTCAGCAGGTTCAGCAGCTTAGAGAGATGTTCTTTGCCGAGCCGGCTTGTCTCACGTTCAGATTGGCCAGCGATACCGATCGCATGCAATCAGTGGCCGAGATTCACGTCGCGGTCGGGTCACGTCGGTTGTAACTACGTGAGATTACGCATTACCTGCCGATTCGCTGATCCTATTACCGGTCGTAATAGGGTTTACGGGGCTCGTAGCGTGCATCCGTACCTTTAATCGCGGCACCTGTTATTGGCCCCGATAATCTCGCATCTTTAAAGCGCGATAGCCGCTCTTTCTTCTCCATTACATCTCTCCCTTTTGCGCGCGTGGACGCTCGTTGGGGACGTTCTGATTTTCTTCCACGAGACTCCGCGTGTGCAAACGCAGCCATGTGTGCGCGGAATGGCCACATATGTGCTCCGAAAGCGCGTTAAATATATAAGTGTGTGTGTGTGTGTGTGTGTGTGTGTGTGTGTGTGAGCGCGCACGCTCTCGCGAGTACGTGTGCATATGTATGTTACTATCTGACGAGAGTATCGTATCACTGCGACGATCCCTCGGCCAGTCGCGACCCTCTTCAGCGTCGCGTAAAAACAGGAAGTATGGTAAAAACATCAGCCGTTCCGCCGTGATACCCGAAGCCCGTTTAATCGGCCGCCCAGGCGGAGTGGGAGCACTGAAAATTACCGAGATGTATCTCCCCGACCCGATTCACGTGAATCCGCCGCGAGATTAAACGGCTTTCTACGAGCCCGATATATGTCCGCGCGCACATATATCCCCATTTGTACAGAAAGATGTGTGTGTGTGTGTGTGTATATATATATACACACACACACACGTGCATCGCAACGTTTCCGCAAATTTCGTCGAAATGCACCGTCTTCTCCGAGGCAACAATTAGGCGTGATAAAATCGTTAACGACCCCCCCACGCGCGCGCAGCCGAGCGTGAGAACAACAGGGGTGAAAAAGAGGTGCGATCTCGCGGATATGGAAAATCCGATTTGACGGTGCAACGGGAACAACGTGGCCAGGGATCGTACAGACGGAACGTGTACCTTTCGAATAAAGCGCGCAGTTTGCCACCCCGGCGCGTCTCGCAAGAGCGAGTTGCACGGGGGGCTGCCTTATGGATGAGCGTTCGAGGTCTCGCTCGGCGTGGCGGCTGGAAATGTGTGGATGTAGTCCGGGGGTGGTTTGTTTTGCGCTCGCGACCCGAGTCGGAATTTTTATCGTACTCTTTCGGCCTCGATATTCCATTTAACGCTTGTTTTGACACTCTAGAGCCTACATCGACCACTTTTGAATGTACTTAACCTACTAACTTTACCGACAGATACTCTTTAGAACCTATCTACACGGATTAGAATGTTACAATTTTCTTTTTTAGATAAATTCTTTCCAGTTTTACATTACGTTTTTGATAGTCTAGGAATAGACTGTTGGTAAGGTCCATCTTGCTAAGGAGCGAAGTAAATTTCACTGGAAACACGACGGATGTTTTGATGGCACATTTTACTTCTTAAAATATAAGTAGCACATGTGAAAGTGTAGTGGAATTACTACAGAATGTCGACCTATTCGGCTACAAAATCCCCTATAGTAATTTTTACTGTAAAATTCTCTTTATATACAAATGGCATTTGGTGTGTTCTCTGCCTTTGACGTTGAATAGGATCTCAGTTTCTGTGTATTATACATACACTGATCCTTCAGAAAGTACAGGTGTTGGAAAATTCAGGTCCGAAAGTAGGGTTAAAATTTCGGCTCGGAGACTCTCACCCGCCGTATAGGAATATCGGCTCGTGCACGCCGGTGTGCGCTTCTTTCCCGCGGTGGAGTGTTGCGTCGAGACGATCGGCTGTGGATGGAGGACGAGTGTGCACACAAGAAGAAAGTGGAGAGAGGAGACGGAGGAGGCAGCGAGAGGACGAAAAATATGGCCCGTGTGCATGTCGAGCGTGTCGACTTGCCTTTTTGCTCGCTTCGTGCTTCTGTCTCTTCTTCTACTTCTTCCTCCACTTCTCTTCTTTTCTCTTTGTAAATTTCGTCGTCGCCCGCCACTCGCACGAGGATCGTTGACCGTGTCGAATATTGGTCATTGCAAATGAGATTCGCGGGGATCGCGATGCGAGCAAGTCCGCGGCGGGACTTTCCATCCCTTCACCTGCTCTATTTCTCGCGAGAAACTCTTTAAGTAAACCGACGCCAGGGTGGCGAGAGAGAGAGAGAGAGAGTGAGTGAGAGAGTGCCAAGTTGTGGGTTGGCAGGGTCGTTTAAATGTTTAGATTCGCGGTGTGAAAGTCCCGCTTTTCCTTACCTAGACGGAAAACTTCTTATCACGCGGCGCGGTTCGTATTCGTGGCATTCGAATGGTCCCTCTCTGGAGTCGCGAAAAAGTACCGCTTTCCGTTGTGCCCGCGAGAATGGGGATTCTCAAGTGGCTTTAATTTCGACCGCGGCAATTTTCGTGGTTGCGGCAACGACCGGGGCGAGACGCGGCGCCTCCCCGCCTCCAATGAGAATAATTATTTTAGACAGCGGCCGACGCGATGACAGACCAGTTGCCGCGTATGATTCGCGAGAGAGGAAGCGGGCGCGCGTCAATTCGTTCGAAATCGAGCTCTCTCGCTGCGATTATAGCGGCCGAACTATCGAGAAAACGTCACTTCGGACTCTAAGAGAGCGAGGTGACGTTTCCGCGAAACAGCCGCCGCATCGCAGCCGTACAGAGGCAAGGTGATTTATACGCGCGTCGAAGTATCGCCAGAAATTAATCTTATTAATCATACTGAACGTTATATATATTTTTGAACAGAGCCTTGTCAAGGGGATGCTGAAATCGATGACGAACTCGAAAAATGTCGATAAAGCAGAGACGATCGTTACTAATACAACCACGCTATCCTTTTATCCTCTTGTATTTCTTGTATATACATATAGATCTTACGTAAATGCGTGTAGCTTTATTTTGCCATGTTTAGCGGGAGAAACCTAACCACGCATATATGGAAATCTTTCTGCAAACTTTTCCGATATCTTTAAGCTTCTAGAATTCAGATTTCAGTACTGCAATGCACTTTGAAATTTTTCTGAGCGGAGCAAACTCGCGTTCAACATATACAAGCTACGGATTTTTTTTAATCAGGCGAGTACTTACATGAACTGACAGTGTCTGACAAGCTAATTTACATTCGAAATATCTACTTTGAAATCTTTTATCGTTTTTGTCATAAATTAAACAGTGTTCTGATTCATTCTCGCGGATATTTTTATTGTGGAAGAAAGCATTTGTCATTCTGTGCAGCCAATACAACCTAAAGTTTGCAGAAAAAGGTATTCTGTCGGTAAATATTTCAACTCCAGCATCCCCTTAAGGGAATAGTGGAGTCGATGACAAACTCCAAAAATGTCGATAACGTAGAGACTATTGTGACTAATACAGTCACGCTATCTTTCTCGTATTTCTTATACATATAGTATCATTATTCTTATTCTTATATATTATCGTATATAAATGTAAGTTGCCTTGTATATATTTAGCGGAAAACTTAATTAAGCGTATGTAGAAATCTTTCTGTAAATTTCTCCGATATATTTTAAATTCAGATATAAGATATCTGTACCAATCTCCGGACATTGTTATTATTTTTATATTTGAATATGAATATTTCAACTTTCAACGTACAATACATACATACTGGTATACATACATTTAATATTTATATTTAGTGTACGTTGAAAGATGAAATATTTAGAGAAATATTCAAAATAATAAGAGTGTCCGGAATTAGGTACATGTCCGGGCATTGGAACATTTACCTTAAAGGTACAGCAAGGTTTTTTTACAAATTTTCACAGCGGAAACTCGCATTCGGCATATACAGATCTTTTATATCAAGCGAATATTTACTTCAACTGACAACGTCTGACAGACTAATTTACACTCGAAATGCCAACTTTGAGATTTTTTATTGTTTTTGTCATATATTGAATAATGCTCCAATTCATTCTCAAGTATTCTTATTGTGTAAGAGCATTTGTCATTGTATGCAGGCAATGTTCACTTTGCATAAAAAAGTCAATATTTTGTCAATAAAGACTTCGACTCCAGCATCCGCTTATAAACGAACGCCATACCTGAAACCTTTACCAACAAAATGTTGACTATTTTTACAAAGTTTACGTCGTATTGATTGCACAGAATTACAAATGCTTTTATACACTGAAAATAAGTGCAACAATGAATTGCAGCATCGCTCAGTACGTGACAAAAACCACAAAAATTTTAAAATTGACATCTCAAACTGTCAGTTGACGTGAATATTTACTTCATACAAAAGTTCTGCAACTTGTACGCACTACACGTGTGTTCGCCCCGCTAACGGAAATTTCAAGGAACATTTCTGTATCTTCACTGAATTTAAAAGCTCAGAAATATACGAGAAGTTTGCAGAAAGATTTCTATATATGCGTAGTTATAGTTTCTGCTAGCATATGATAAAACAAAGCAACATACATTTATATACAATCTACATATACAAGAAATACGAAAAGGATAGTATATAGTGTCAGTGACGACCACTTTTATATTATCGACGTTTTTGGAGTTATTCGTCATCCACTTTAGTATTCCCTTAATACTTTCGCGGATATGCATATTTTTTTGGAAAGTCGTTCCGCGCGAGTGTATTATTCTCGATGCCGTAACTGTCACGCAAATACCTCCGTCGAAAAATATTAGCTTTACGTTTATTGCTTTTTGCAACGGCCTCGCCGAGATTATGACGCTTTCGAACAATAGCGTCACGCGGTACGTTGCTGCTTTTTCATTCTGAAAATAAACCTTCGCAAAAACTTCGGCGAGAGCACTCATATCGTGCGGTCACGCATTTACATCGCTAAAACACACCTAAAACGATGAAGTAATCATTCGCTACTCCGCAGCCGGGTGAATATTCCGAAGAATGCCCCGCATCCAATTATTATCATACGCTGCAGGCAATTTCGGGGCGATTTGCATAGAACGAATTTTCGGGAATTCCTGGAGGCCGTCTGTGTCGATAAGCATCGACCAAACATTTGGAAGTCGTTAAATTTTCTTTTTCTCTCAGAATTTGCTATGTAATCTGAAATTGTCTACCTACTGAGATCACTTCGCTCACTTTGCGCAAGTGCAACGAAAACAATCAACATCTCGAGTAGAAAGTAAGCCAGAAAATAATAAATGGCCAGGAATTTTCCTTATTGTCTAATATTTTTATTTAATATTATGATCTATTTAGTCGACGCTTGTTTCGATGATAACTAGATGGTGAAACTAGCCAGTTATTAATCATATGATTATTATGAATTTCTAACCAGTTTCTAGTAAATTTTTATATTTCCATCTTTAATTTTCATTTTCTTTTGAATTGCGAACACAACGCTAAACATTTCCCAATTAGGTTTTCCAAACCTATTCAATGAAATGATCTATTCTCAACAGAAATTCGACGAATTTATGATCAACCACTGAATTTCGGTAAAGAATAGCTATGAAAAAGACTAAACAATAGCTAAAACATTTAGTGTTTTATCTTCTAGTCTTTAAAAAGCATATTTTATATACAAAAAACTGCGAAAACACAAAAGTTTATGCACACTTGCATTTATATGAAAGCGCATGTATCTCTTTTTAACAATTTTTAAATATTTATATTTTTCTTTTCATTTTTCCATGTTTTAATGTTTGCTGTGATGATCATTTATAAATACACAAAAGTTAATAAAACTAAAAGCTTTAACTAATAGCATTAACTTCATATTATCTAACTCTATTGCAGTAAATGTTTAATAGAAAATGTTAGCCAGAATATTGTTAGTTTCAAATAGACAAACTACCTATTATTTACTAATTAGTTTTCCTAATTAATCTGGCTAAATTATGGTCAAGGAATAAGAACTACACTAGAAGAAAATGATGATTACACGAATTATATGTAGAATTGATATATGAAGAGGAAATTTTATAATAAAGATTACTACAAGACTTTGTAACCTACGAACAGACTGACATTCTGCAGTAATTTGCCATCCTTTTATTTTATACGTACTACTTATGCTTTAAGAATTAAAATATAATATTAAGAAACTTGCTGTTTCTAGCGAAATTTGCTATGTTTCTAAAAAAATTTATGAAATTTATTATGTCCCTTAACAAGATAGACCTTATTAACAATCTATTCCCGGACTACTAAAACATAGTAAAATTGAAAATAATTTCTATGAAAAGGGACTATATAATATTTTCTCTCCTCGTGTAACTGTATACATCATAATTCTACATACTCGTACACACACACACACACACACAAAATTATAGTTGTCACTTTGTACTTGCCATTACTATTTTTTCTCTGAGTGTTGAATGTTGCGAATTTGGGCATAATCTAGCTATTAGTTATTAGTCTGTTTGGCTAACTTCTGGCTACTTTTTATACTAGAAAATACATTCTTTAACAATGCCATTTATTAAGAGTTTAAATATTAGCCAATAATTAACCAGTTTTGCCTCAACACGAGTCTCTCATTTGTTTAACAGTTACTGTCAAATCTAATAAAGATTAAACCGTATAAACCGGTTAGTTTCTGTGACCAGTTTTCCCCGAAAATGGTTCTGCTCGGGATATCGCTAATACCTGATCGGAATAGCGCTTTATAAAATGTACCGACAGATTATTCTACGCCGAGTTTAGCCAACGCAACAATAATTTTCAACGAAATTCCTCTCTTGCCGCTCGGAAAACCCGATGGAAATACATGCGCGACGTCTCGCACCTGCCTTCACACAGCTCGAGCCAACGCTCGCGCGAGCTTTCCGCAACGAGCACGTACGTGCTGAAAGCTCGAAGTGGCGGCGGCGGCGGCAGCGACGCGCGGAGCCGTTTAGCGAAAAGTCCGTTGCGCGTCGTTCTGCACCTGTGCGCCGCTGTTCTTTCAGAATCGACCGAATCGGTGGCGCGACGCGAGAGCGCCGAAGGGAATACGCGCAACGAGATGCCAGCTTTCGCGCCGCATCCTGGGAGATACGTCAGCCCGCGCGGAGGACTTTCGTGGGAAGGCTCGACGTTTTCGCACTTTTCTACTAAATCAGCCGTTAACGTCCCTACGGATGCGGGACGCTCTCCGATCTACGATCGATAAGCGTACGCGGATCAGCGGCTCAATTCGACCGTCGTCGACGATTCGTTCGTCGGCGTCGACGCCGACGCCGGAAGTGGAGCGAGAAAGAAAGGCAGAGAGGGAGAGAGAGAGAGAGAGAGAGAGAGAGAAAGAGAGAGAAAGAGAGGAAAACAAGATTCCGCGATGTGCGTGACGGGCAAGACGTACGAGCAAGAAATGGATGGGAAAAGTACGTTCGAATCTTAGCCCGCTCTGCCCCGTAAATAGCGTTTTGTAAGCCCCGTCACGTGAAATCGATATCCCTTAAGAGCCGGTCCGTGAGGTCGTTCGTCAGAACGGTGCACCCTGTTTCACCCCCGCTGCTGGAAGAGAAGGGGAGCGCGCGTTGGTCTGCGGGGAGGTCGCGGCTGGTGGACAGAACGGACGGGGTGGCTGAATAAAAGAAGATGCACAGGAAGGGGCCAGCGTTTCTCACCGACATGGGACTGCTAATGTTCTTAGCAGTAACAGCCTCTCTGCTGGGTTACTGCCAAACGGACGAAAAAGGTAAGACACAGCGTCGCGACTCGACCTTTCTCCCTCTCTCTTCCCGCCCATTCCTTTCTCTCCTCCCGTCTCACCCCTTTTCATCTTACCTTCCCCGGTATTCCTCCGCCGCCGCCGCCGCCGTTGGCAGCGGGGGCGGGCGTCGAAAGAAATACGGATTTTGCTTTCCGCATCGCCACTCGGACGGCCGGAGGGACGGCGCGAGAAGGAGCGGCGAAGATTAACTTTTATGGCCGCCGGCATGAGTAGTTACTGCGAATTTACTTATAGCGAGAGCGGTTTAATGGTCGCCGCGCGCGCACACATCGCCGCATGGCGCTTTTAATAGTACTCGAGACCGCCGCACCCGGCGTCCCTTCGTAAACACCCCCGCACGAACGATTATATATCGGGAGAGGCGCACTTCAGTCTTCAGCTCTTCATCTGCGGACACGGTCGGCGCACACCGGGTGAACGTACGTAGGCCGGCTCTCCCCCGGCGCTACGCGTGTTCGACGAAATTTCATGTCAATATTACATCCCGCATAGAAATGTCCCAAGATTTTCCCGGTTCAGCATAGATTCCGATTAGAATGCCCAAAACTGCCCCCAAAATTGGTTATTCCACTCTGCTGATGCCACTTGGAAATTCCATTCTTGTCCCAAATATGATTTCTCTGTCTACGATCGAAACGCTATGAGAATTCGTGCTTTTTATCAAACTGTATTCGATAGACTACAAGATAAAAAAATTTAAATATTTTAAAGCGAGTATCTTACTCAGTAAATTATATATTTAAAACATAAATTATATATTTTAAAGCACTTTAAGTATTTTACTGAAAAATGAGATTTCGAAAATCAACACATGTTTTGTTCAATCCTAAAGTATAAAATCAAAACCAGAAAGAATATTAGAAAAATGTTGAGTCTTTCACTTAGAATCATATATTTATAACATTCTTGCAAAGAAAATATCTTGAGATCTAGTTGAAATTCATTTCGATATTTCAAGAAAATGACAAAAATGACGAATAATTGAGAAATCTACGATTCTAAGATTCGAAATTTAAGATTCGAAGATTAGAAATGTAATATTTCAAAAATATGACTCTAAATGAGAAACCGATCTCATTATATCTTCCGAGCGTTTTCCCAAAGTTTTCTTTTTTTCGGTTTCTATGTTATATTTATGTTGCACAAAACATCTGAAACATCTTGAAAATGTACGTACATTTTAAATACTTAAATATTTAAAAAAACTTAAATATTGTTTCAAGCATTTTTTTTCAACTTTTTTTTTTTTAATCAATTATAGATGTCTCGAAAATAAAACGGTATATATTATATTTTTATTTCAAACATAAAACTTTAACATTAAACATTTAAATGCATTGTGGTTATTTTTAATGAACAGACGGTAAATTATAAGAATGTGTGACTATATATAGTAGTCTATATTTTAAAAAGAACAGACCTCATATTTCTACAAATCGTAATTCATGAAAGTACGAAGTATTACTTTATTATTCTTAGCGTCTCTCCCCTCTTTTCCTTTCACTCTTTCTACGCAACTTTTTTTCTGCCTTTGAGTTTCTCACTCAGAATCGCAACTTCAATTATTTCGGAAATTGGAACGGATGCCAATTAGATCCCGGAAGATTTTCTATAATTGAGATAAGAATAGAATTCCCGATGCTATCGCGATATGATGCACCATATTTGCAACAAGTTTGGATAATCTGAACGGAATCTACTGTACTTGAGAATGCTTGGGAAACTTCCACACGAGCTATAATTATTTCGGAGAATCTCTAACTGGAACTCTATTAGATATATATCGCAAGAAATATTCTGAGTAACGTATTCTGAAGGCTGTCCGCGACTGAAATATCCTTCGATATTTCACATTTATTCCACGGATAATTCGAATACGTCGTTTCCGCGTCTTATCACGCGGAACTGCCGAACGCATCATGAAACATTCACGTTACGTCTTCCGTTGTACGCGAGCTATTTCGCGCGTGTAGCGACCGCACCGACCGTGGTGTCGACTGTATGTTAAGAATGGGGAAAAATTGCTCCGTAATATCGCGAAATAAGTCATTTAAATTCCCCCAACGTCGTTATACGCGCGCTGCGTGCCACCGTCGATAAATATGGACGAACTGTATTTCTTTCGCGACGTTAGAGCTCGACAGGACGCGACACACGCACACCATAGCGCGCTGCATTGTTAAAACGGTCGGAAATATGACGGCAAGGTTACTTGAAAAATCGGCGTTTTTCTTCCTTTTTTCCCGCTGCGTTAATAGTCCCCTGCGCGTGGAACACGATGTGAAATCGCACAAGCGAGAGAAACGGATGCGAGTATTTTCAGAGCCGCTAATTAAATTTGCCCAATTCGCAATAATCGAACGCGGAAATCACGTTGAAGTAATAACTCGCTGCCAAATCATACGCCGTTACAAAACACACCAAAGTGCACTCGCGTACGAATTATCGTTATCATTGTGCGATACTCGATACACGTTCGCCGCTCCGCTCCAGAATGAAAACCGAATGATCGAAACGTGTAATCCGCGCCCCGTTACAATTCTCGCGGAACCATCTTTCCTCAACGCCGCTATCTTATTCGATCGATCTGAATTTAACGAGCGATCAAATCGCGATACAAGTCCAAACAGAAAATCTGTAACGTGCTCGAACTCTGTTAAAATCAAAATGGGAAAAAAAAGAAAAATAGGAAAAAGAAAGAGCTTCCGCCGGCGCGCTCGTAACAATCAATAACGGCGTGTCGCGTATTTCCGTACCGATAAAATCCGTATACACACACACACATGCGCGCGCGCGCGCGCGTGTCGCGGACGCGTATATTTGCGCGAATTAACAAATACCTTTTCTGCGCATTTTTTTTTGTTTCCTATACGCTTATGGAAGTTGGTTTGATGAAATTTTACGTGCTTAGTACGTCATTAGCGGCGGATATTACGTGAAGCTACGAGAATTGGAAGACATAGGGAAAACTGAGGTAAGATGTCACATTTTTCAGAATTCCAAAGTTACTATTTCTTAGACAACTAATTGTTGTGATTGGCTGGGCAAATGTGATAAACACAATCTTCTTCTATGTCTTCCTCTATGCTCACAACGATCCTACCTTACTCTCTGAAAGTGAATCAGTAAAATTGTTTCTGATTGAATCAGTATAAAAGGACTATTTCACCAATGATCACATAGAAAAAATGTCATTCTACTGCTAAGAAAAGCGGTTACTCGGCTTACTATTCTTTTTTAAAGTAATAATTATCTTTAACAAAGATAAATTTCTTGATAATAATCCTAAAATGTGCTCGTCACAAATTTAAAAAGACCTCATTATCTCATTATCCTCATTATCATCTCCACAAAAGAAGAATGTATATTCTCTTTAAGAATATTATAAAACTTCATCGAAGAGAAAAGGTTAGTTCGACTTTATACAGTAAGCAAACGGGATTTTTGTTTTAACTTAACATTTTCGATCGAAATGCTAAAACTAGAATTCAAAATATATCTTAGATAAATTTGATGCTAGCGACGAACTTATGATAGATTTACGGATATGTAAACTTATAAAATATTTGAAACAAGCTACATTTACTTGCAGTATGCATTTGTCTGTGTACACATCCCTTAATTTTCAGTGAAAACACCCCTCCTTTATTGCTCATTTCTCACTGAATTCGGCCGTTGGAAATAATATTTCAAGTCGCAAAATCTGTAGTACACAAATTCGTTATACGCTGTACTAAATCCAACTTTCTGCGTTTGTGACAATAGAATTAGCGGCTTCTATGCGCTTTGTATGCATTATATACTATCTGTATTATTATCTTTGCAAAGTATATCACCAATAGATATAATAAATAGTCGCTATTATTAACCGATCCTTTCAGCGAGATTTTACTGATTGCAGTGCTATACTTCTAACTGAACCACGAGTTATAAATATAGCATTTCAATGAACAATACACTGAGCAATACAATGAACAATACAATGAACAACATATTTTGTTTTGCCGAAATAACCGAAATACGAACATATCGCCATCTTCCCTGGTCAAATTAGTTAGCAACTCAGAGTACAAAGACCACATATAAAATAGGGAGATCAGATCAAATTGGATCACTTTTCAGAATTTTGAAGTTTCAATTCCTCAGACAACCAATTATTGTGATTGACTGTATCAATATGATAGGAACAATCTTCTTCTATGTTTTTATGCCTGCAACGATCTTATAAATCGTATTTTGTTCAATAATAACCAAAATATGAATACATGTTGCACATAACCATCCCGACTAAAAATGTATCTCACGGTTTTGATCAAATTGATCCTAGTCAATTATTTGGTTTGTGTAAAATGATATTATCGGATCCTAATCATGAACCTTTTCAAAGATGATTTAAATGCCTGTACGATTCTTCCCAGCATTGTTTTTTCTTTTTAAACATATCTAGATTTTTTTATTCTCTTTATTGCTATTTCCTTCGAAAAATTTTAAGAATAGAATGCAAAACATATCTAATTTTAATCTGTATTTGCTATGAGAATTTAAAAAAAATACAATAGTTCAAGTTAAAGGAATTTAATATTTTATTACGAAACTTTTCCGAGCATACCACATGAGGGATTAATAATGTTCTAAGTGTTAATAATCATTATTAATAAGATTCTGATTATCATACTGCGTTGCATGACTTTATCAGGATCAAATAACATTGCCTTGTATAAATCAAATAACTGATTAGGGTCAACTTGATCGTGGGGTAAATTTCCAGTCGCGATTTTATCCTGATATTGAGTCAAGTTGGTTAGTAACTCAGGACAGGAAGGCCACATATAAAAAGTTTATCTTGATCAGTAATTCCAGGGTCTCTGCGAAAGTTCTTTAGAGTCTCTCCACGGTCTCCTGTCGGCCCTCAAATATGAGCCAACTTTACCCCATCCGTCCATATGCTCGATTTCACTTTACGA